GTGCTTCCATTCTGTTTGGAGGGAATGACTTGTCAAAACATGGTGCCAGCTTGATTGAGGCTTCAAAGAAGCAGTTTCACAACCATTTCCAACTGTCATTTTTATGAACAGAAATTGTGAAGTGTTTACAGCTTAGCTTTACACATTGTCAGATTTATTTTTTTAAAATATGTTTTTATTGATTCTAGAGAGAGAGGAAGGGAGGGGGGAGAGAAAAACATTGATGTGAGAGAAAAACATCTATCGGCTGCCTTCTGCACACTCCTACCAGGGACCGAGCCCCCAATCCGGGCATGTGCCCTGACAGGATCAAATTGGCGACCTCCCAGTGCAAGGGATGAGCTACACTAGACAGGGCACATTGGCTGATTCTTGTATGTGTCCTTAATGGGGATCGAACTCACATTGGGATGACACTCTAATCAATTGAGCTACCCGGCCAGGGTGATTGTCAGATTTCTTCAACGCTCTCGACAGGTGCAGAAACCTCAGGCTGTCCCAGGTGTCTCATGAGCATTCACTTTGAGGCCGGGTTCCTCGCCTGCCTGCTTCAAAATAGATGCTAGTGGGTGACTCTGGAGGCATTTTCTTATGTTAGTGGGAGCTGGGGCAGCAAGTGGGATAGATTACAGTGAGCTGGGTTGGCCTGCCCACTGTCTCTGTGTTGGGTACTCCATTGCCCTTAGAAGTGGTAGGACCCCTGTGCACATCTAGCGCTGTACTCCTTTTGGCTTAGGGGAGGGGGCATTTGCTCACCATGATCTCCACTGGATACATTCTGGGGGCCTGGAACTTCTCCAAGCAGCTCCAATATACCCCTGCAGTATTCCTGGGCCAGGATCCCAGGAGGGGTAGGGCTCACAGCATCCTGAGACTCAGGCTGACCTGCTTCTCTTTAGACAGTGGACACATCAAAGAGGTCATTGTGGCTGCTGAGGTGGATCCAGGCGACAATGAGATGGCAGAGGCCTCAGGCAGCCCCGATCCTCAGGGGCCCGGGCTGGCCGGGCAGGGTGAACAGGCCCAGCTCAAGCTGCTCGTGAACGAGGATGGCCGCTACGTGTGTGCATTGTGTCACAAGACCTTCAAGACGGTGAGCCCCAGATCTTGGGCCGTGTCAGCTAAGGGGACCAGGCCTCCTGCCCAGGGAGTTGCCTGAGCCTCGCTGCCCCTCCCTCTCAGGGTAGCATCCTCAAGGCCCACATGGTCACCCACAGCAGTCGTAAGGACCACGAGTGCAAGCTGTGCGGGGCCTCCTTCCGGACCAAGGGTTCACTCATCCGGCACCACCGGCGGCACACAGGTGAGCTAGCTCAGTATGTGGGGCACCCCTGCCTCCTGGTGGGAGGCTATGGCTCCAGGCCTGCCTTCTTTACCCAAAGCTGACTCCATTCCACAGATGAGCGTCCCTATAAATGTGCCAAGTGTGGAAAGAGCTTCCGGGAGTCAGGTGCACTGACCCGGCACCTCAAGTCTCTCACCCCGTGCACTGAAAAAATCCGATTCACCATGAGCAAGGATGTGGTTGTTGGCAAAGAGGACGCGCATACAGGTCAGCATGGTGAAGGCTCCCTGTTCCAGCCCGGGAGCTGCCCTGGTCAGGGAGGCTTCTTCAAGGACTCTTCTTGGTTCTGCCTTAAAGGGTCTGGTGCCTCCGCCATGGGGACCGTTACATCATCATCGGTGATAGGCGAGCCCATGGAGACATCACCCGTGATTCATCTGGTGACAGATGCCAAGGGCACTGTCATTCATGAAGTCCATGTCCAGATGCAAGAGCTGCCCCTGGGCATGAAAGCCCTAACCCCAGAGGTGGGGGCCGTCTGGGGGTGTGGCCTCTGACTGCTCAGCGCCAGGATCTGTTCTGGGCACTGGCTCTAGTGGGAATGGGACTGACCTGGGTCTGCACTCTGTGTGGTTGCAGAGGGGATGAAAGATCAATGGCTGCCCTAGATGGGGCAGGCAAGAGCAGATGGGAGTGGACTGTGGGGCTCCCAGGGGCATTCCTGAGTGAAGCTATTGGGTGTGCACAGTGGTCCTTGGGCCCCTTGGATTTCTCCTGTGTGGTGGGTTCGGGTGGGTGCCATATGCTGAGCCGCCTGGCCAACCTCCCTCCCTCCCCCTCCCCCACAGCCCCCTGCTCCCAAGGAGCTTCCCTGTTCCAGCGAGGACAGTCGGGAGAACCTGCTGCACCAGGCCATGCAGAACTCTGGCATTGTCCTTGAGCGGGTCACTGGGGAGGAGGGGGCCCTGGAACCAGTCCCTCCCGCTGCGTCCAGTGCCCAGCCCCTAGGAGATGGTCCCCCAGAACTGCCGCTGCTGGAGGTGGAGCAGGTGGAGACAGTAGGTACCTGTGCTGCCAGTGTGCTCATTCCTGGGGGCCGCACCTTAGATGAAGCTATTCATTACACTGGCCTGGCCGCCAGCCTCCTTGCTGTTCTCCCTGCTGTCACTTTCTGCAGTGACTTTGTCCCCTGAGCTGCTTACCCCTAAGCCCATGATGAGCCTGTCAGGGTGGGGGTGCTACGGGTCTGTCTGCTGGGGCCCAGCCTGCAGTGGGTACTGGAAATATGCTGTGGTCCCCCAGCAGGTGGCCCATGAAGCCTCAGCGGTATCCAGGACCCACCTGTGCCCTCAGTGCAGTGAAACCTTCCCGACAGCTGCCACCCTAGAGGCCCACAAAAGGAGCCACGCAGGTGGGTGGCGAGTGGGGCACTGGTCAGTGGATGATCTGTGAGTGGCCAGGGTGGTCCCTTGGGCAATGGTGGTCAGGGTGGCCTGTGGGCAGGCAGCAGGCAGTTGGGGGGCCCTTGGGGATTGGACGTGGCCTGACATTGCCTGTGGCCCCAGGGCCGAAGCTGTTCACATGTGTGCAGTGTGGCAAGGCCTTCCCCAAGGCCTACCTGCTCAAGAAGCACCAGGAGGTCCACGTGCACGAGCGCCGTTTCCGCTGTGGGGACTGTGGGAAGCTCTACAAGACCATCGCTCACGTGCGCGGCCACCGGCGTGTCCATTCAGATGAGCGGCCCTACCCTTGTCCTGAGTGTGGCAAGCGCTACAAGACCAAGGTGGGCCCTCCAGCCCTGACTTCTGACCCCCCCGCCCATGAGCTCCCCACTCTGTGGGCCAGCTCCATCCCTTGTTTCTGCCCCAGCCCTCCCTTGTTACCCCCTCTGCCCAGTGTTGGCTTGGACCCTCCCTGCTGGCCAATGAATCCCCCCCTTCCCGGCCCTAGAAGTGGATGGGGAAAGCCTCAGTCTTAGGTGTGGACAAGACCAGGTTGATCCTGACAGTGGCCTCCTCAGAATGCCCAGCAGGTACACTTCCGGACACACCTGGAAGAGAAGCCGCACGTGTGCCCATATTGCAGCCGAGGCTTCCGGGAGAAGGGCTCACTGGTCCGGCATGTTCGCCACCACACGGGCGAGAAACCCTTCAAGTGCTACAAGTGTGGCCGTGGCTTTGCCGAGCATGGCACGCTCAACCGGCACCTGCGCACTAAAGGTTGGGGGCGAGTGGGAGGCAGGAGGGGGTGAGGGGCAGCAGGAGGCCAGCCCTGACTGAGCTCTCCGCCTCAGGGGGCTGCCTGCTGGAGGTGGAGGAGCTGCTGGTGTCCGAAGAGAGCCCCACAGCAGCTGCCACTGTCCTCGATGAAGACCCGCACACTGTGTTGGTTGAATTCTCATCCGTGGTGGCTGACACCCAGGAGTACATCATTGAGGTGGGTGTCGGGCAGGGCTGGGATGTGGCCCAGGGGCAGGCAAGGTTGACCTCTGACCCTCTTTCCAGGCCACCACGGATGATACCGAGACCAGTGAAGCTACAGAGATCATCGAGGGCACCCAGACAGAGGTGAGGGACTGGGGGAGAGGGAGAAGGGAGGTGTGGTGCCCTCACCCAACCTTGTGGGCTGAGCTGTGAGCCACCCACAGGTGGATAGCCATATCATGAAGGTGGTGCAGCAGATCGTACACCAGGCCAGCGCCGGGCACCAAATCATTGTGCAGAATGTGACCATGGATCAGGAGGCGGAGCTAGGTCCAGAAGCGGCTGCTGCAGACACCATTACCATTGCCACCCCGGAAAGCCTGACAGAGCAGGTGGCCATGACACTGGCTTCAGCCATCAGCGAGGGCACTGTGCTTACTGCCCGTGCGGGTGCAAATGGCACTGAACAGGCTACTGTGACCATGGTTTCATCGGAGGACATTGAGATCCTGGAGCATGCGGGCGAGCTGGTTATTGCCTCGCCAGAGGGCCAGCTCGAGGTGCAGACTGTCATTGTTTAGCGTGGGTGCCTGTAGGGTCCCACTGGGCTGGGCTGGGTCAGGGGCAAGGAACCTGAGCGCCCTACCCACTCCTACTTGGCCTAGTATGGACAAGACACGGCACAGAATCCAGATGTTCAGACACGTGGGGGTGTAAATAGAGTTTTTTGTTGCTTTACAATAAAACATGAAAACCCACCGCTTGTGATATTGCGGCAGTGGCAGCCCTGGCAGGCTCTCCCATGGCAGCACCTGTCTGCCCGGGCCACGCTGTAGACTCTCATGCCTGGCCACCCCGCCCAGTATTCCTGATGGGGCTGGCGACACCTTGGCTGCGTGTGGGTGTCACTGGCATGTGGACAGACAGCCATCTGCTGGTGCCCTGCCCACTGGGATCTGTGACCCCAGCTTCCTGAGGCCCGATGTGGTTCCCTGGGGCAAGGGACTTGGGCCAGGAGACCAGGAGCCTCTAACAATGTGAAGCAGAAACAGTGGAAGAAGTGGAGCTAAGAAGAGGGGCTTTCCTAATTGTACTGCCTTAGTTTCCCTGAGGGGATGCCGTGCCAGGAGGGAGATTCTGGATGACCTAGTTTCTGAGGGGCGGGGACAAGAGCAGGCCTGGACTCAGGGCCTGGCTGGCCATCTCCCTCATTCCTCATGAAGCTCTTGGGGTGTTGGCAGGGGCTTCTGAGTCCTGATTCTGACAGACTTGGGGGTTGGAGCCTCAGGGTGGATCCCCTGTTGCCTTGTCTTCTGGGTTCTCTGTGGGAATGGGAGCCAGGAGTTCTGGCACCAACTTTGAGGGGGCGGGACCCAGCACAGTTGGCCCCTCCCTGGACCAGGGCCTCAAATACCTGAGTGTGCCCAGGCATCAGACAGACCTTTTGCCAGACCAAGCCCTTGGAGTCTGGTACCACGGACACACTCCCAGCCTGGACCTCAAACCCTTACTTGGGCCCAAATCCTGAGCCTCTGGCACTGCCCTATCCACATCTCAGGTGAGTCGGGCTGGATGGTAATGGGGTTCGTCTGCTTGGGCTTCAGTTTTCCCACGGAGTAGGAGAGTGGCCATGAGCCCAGCACACCACCCTGAGGAGAGCGCAGGGGGAGCCTGCCCTTGGTGCTGGCCAGCATCGGGTGGCATACCCTGTCAGGCCCCCACACCTGGGGAGGTGAGGGGTGGTTGGGTGTGTCCGACTCCCGGTGGGTGCTCAGGGCTGTGTCTGTCCCTCCCAGCCCACTACCTCGGAGCAATGGGATGGCCCCGGGCCCTACTGGCTGCGCTCTGGGCCCTGGGGGCTGCCGGGGCAGCAGCGCTGCGCATTGGAGCCTTCAATATCCAGAGTTTTGGTGACAGCAAAGTGTTGGACTCAGACTGCGCCAGCGTCATCGCACAAGTGAGGCGGGGGCCTGGGCTGGGGCTGCTGCCTCTGGGCTCTGTGGGCGGATCTGCCCTGCGTGACCCGCCCCTACGGTCCCCTCTCCAGATCTTGGCTGGCTATGACATCACGCTCGTGCAGGAGGTGCGAGACCCGGACCTGAGCGCAGTGTCCGTGCTCATGGAGCAGATCAACAGGTGTGGCGGGCAGGGCCCAGCGTCGGGAGCTCCGGCCGGCATCCTAGGCCTGGGAGCGGTGCTTTGACTCGGGGCTTGGCCCATATCTCCGCAGCGTGTCGAGGCACCAGTACAGCTACGTGAGCAGTGAGCCCCTGGGGCGGGATCACTACAAGGAAATGTACCTGTTCGTTTACAGGTGAGAAGTGGGGTCGCAGCGTGCGGGGTAGGAGGTGGCTGGCTCGGCGCACCCACCCGCCCTTTGCCCCCAGGAAGGACGCGGTGTCGGTGGTAGACACGTACCAGTACCCGGACCCGGAGGACACCTTTAGCCGTGAACCTTTCGTGGTCAAATTTTCAGCCCCCAGCTCCGGTGAGGCCCCGCCCCTTCCGCCGGCCCCGCCCCCACCGCAGGCCCCACCCACCCCTGACACCCGCCCTCTCCAACAGCTGCCAAGGAGCTTGTGCTGGTCCCGCTGCATGCTGCGCCTCACCACGCAGTGGCGGAGATCGATGCTCTCTACGATGTGTACCTGGACATTATCGACAAGTGGGGCACCGACGTAAGCCCCGCGCCCGCACAGCCCTGGGTCCCCGGAGGCAGGCCCTGGGGGCGGCCATAGAGGCGTGGGCTGGCTGACCCTGGTCCCCTGCAGGACATGCTGTTCCTGGGCGACTTCAACGCGGACTGCAGCTACGTGAAGGAGCAGGACTGGGCGGCTATCCGCCTGCGCAGCAGCGAAGTGTTCAAGTGGCTCATCCCGGACAGCGCTGACACTACAGTGGGCAACTCGGACTGCGCCTACGACCGCATTGTCGTCTGTGGTGCTCACCTGCGCAGGAGCCTGAAGCCCCAGTCGGCCACGGTGCACAACTTCCAGGAGGTGTTTGGCCTGGACCAGACTCAGGTGAGTGCTGAGCTCCATGGAGGGGGTGGGGGGTGTGCCCCGGCTGCTCTGCACTGGCAGACAGGAGCCAGCTCACCCTCAGTGCACCTGGCAATCCCCTCCCTGCCCTAGTTTCCGGAAAAGGCCCCTACAGGGTCAGTTGTGGTTGAATGGAACAAGTCTGGGAAGGCACAATAGGATGCCTTCGCCTCTCCCAGAGGCAGGGTCCTGAGTCTGTGCCCACACTCCACTTGCAGGCAACAGCAGGGATGAACAGCCCAGGCCTCACTGGCCTGCTCCCCTAGACGCAGTGGTTTCTTACAAACCCAGTGGGCTTCATCCTAGGTGGGGGGCCAGTTCTCTGAGGTGAAGCCTCAGGAAGGACAGGCTGCCCAGCAGAGCCACTGAGACTTGGCCCCTCTCCCTCCAGGCCCTTGCCATCAGTGACCATTTTCCTGTGGAGGTGACCCTCAAGTCCCACTGAGCTCCGAGGACTGGCCAGGGCATGCTGCCTGCAGACTGGCTATGAGGAACAGCTCCACAGGACTCAAGGTGGCTGGCTTGCCCTCAGCAAGGCTGCAGGACAGGGTGAACTGGGCCTGGACAGGTGGCCATTGACATGTTACTGGAACAGTGAGCCGATCCCATCTGTAAATGGCCTACCACTACCTACCTCACAGGGGTGTGAGGAGCAACCCAGAGCACTGGGTGTGGCTCTGCTCAATAAACAAGAGTGCTCAGCTAGGACCACAAACAGGTCAGCTTAGAGGCCTCCGTGTCCTTTCTTAGCTTGCCTTCCTGTGGCACAAACCTTGTCCTGCAGCCCAGCAGGTTCTTTAGGGCAGCGGTTGCCAACCTTTTGGACCTCATCCGCAGACCACCGGCTGGCGACTGCTGCTTTAGGGGGCAGGCACAGTCTGGCCTGCCCATTTCACATCCTGCTGGAAACCACCACTTCCAGACCACTGTAAATGCGTTCAAGAACTTAAGGTAAATGCAGTGCGGATCAGCACACATACAGGTATAGTGTTGCCTTGCAAGGCCAACCTTGCAGCCCCAATGTTCCTCAACCCCCAGGCACTGGTCGGTATGAGGAGTCCTGTCCATCACTGCAGGGGGTCAGGTTAAGATCCTGCCCACAGAACTCCAGGTGGTACAGCCCTTCAGTGGTGCCTTCCTGGGTAGGTTCTCCTCACGAGCCCTGGGCTGGGCAAGGACTTGTCAGGACAATGGCCTGTATCCCAGGTAAACCCATCCCCTGACGATCGGGAGTACACGGCATAACTGACAGGGGCCTGATGAGGTTTCTAGTTTTTGGCAGGATTTGGTAACTGTCCTGAATTGTATGGTGGGAGGAAAAGCCTTTTTGTCAAAAGTTCGAGCAAGTTTTTCTTGACAAGTCTTTTTAAATTAAGATGTAGGACACTTGCAACATAGAATGCCTCTCAAATAATGCCTCCCTTGCCGAAACCGGTTTGGCTCAGTGGGTCCCAGGTTGGATTCCGGTCAAGGGCATATACCTTGGTTGCGGGCACATCCCCAGTGGGAGATGTGCAGGAGGCAGCTGATCGATGTTTCTCTCTCATCGATGTTTCTAACTCTCTCTCTCCCTTCCTCTCTGTAAAAAATCAATAAAATGTGCCTCCCTTGATCCTCTTCAAGTCCCCGATTTCTCTGAATTGTCATACATTCCCTCCATCTAAATGAACAAATGTGGTAGCCAAAGGGTTTTTCTCTGGGGGCAAGGGTGGGGGGGAGAGGGGAGGTATCTTGTGTGGATCATCAGGGCCCATGACTCCCTTATGCTTCTAGCAATCAGGCAGCCCAGAGGCCAGGGACAGGACAACCTGAGAACTTTAGTGACAATTCCTTTTTTTTTTTTTTTGTTAACCCTCAACTGAGGATATTTTTCCCATTAATTTTTAGAGAGTGGAAAGGAGGGGGTGGGGGGAGAGAGAAAAACCTTGATGTGTCCCACATTGATCCGTTGCCTTCCATACACGCCAGGGACTGGGAATTGAACCCGTGACCCTTTGGTGTACAGGCCAATGCTCTAACCACTGAAACACACCTGCCAGGGCTTCAGTCATATTTCTTTGGGAAAGGAGGCACTCAGTGGTGACACTGCCCAGGTCCAGAATAGGTCCACCTGCCAGTTCATAATTCCCAAATCCAGACACTGCCTGCAAACCCCACCTGCCAGGCAGAAAATGCACTCGTGTATGGTGGTGGGTCTTCGGCCCTGGCTACAAGGAACAGGGTCTTCTGGAAAGATCAGCAAAACAAAGAGCTGAAAGGATTTTTAAATTGGAAAATACCTTGTTTAAACCCCCTTGGGACCAGAGTGCCCCTGGAAGGGTGCATAAGCCTAAAACCTGTGTGGGCAGCCCAGCCGTTAGCCTTTCCTTTGTTTGAGCTTTTCTAAGTAAATTTGCAAGGACTTCTGAATGGCGTCTCTGGAGACAAAACTGACAAAGTTCTTGATATCAGCATCGCGCTGTTTCACCAAGCGGTCTACTGTGGGCTTTCGCATCATGTTCTTGGTCAGCTGTCGAGCGTGATCTAAAGATAACAGGGTCCATGTGTGAAAATAATTCCCAACCTTCCTAAGAGAGTTCCAACACAAACTTTAGTAGAACACTTAGAAGTTAAACATAAGTAAAAAGAAAATGAAATCACCTATGTTCCCACTACTGTTATCTTTTAAAAACATATAGGATGAGACTGTAAAAACTGCCTTTTTAGCCCGACCAATGTGGCTCAGTGGTTAAGCTTCAATCCACGAACCAGGTCACAGCACATGTCCCAGTTATGGCCTCAATCCCCTGTACAGTTTGTGCAGGAGACAGCCTATCAATGATTCTTTCTCATCATTGATGTTTCCATGTCTCTCTCCCTCTCCCTTCCTGTCTCTGAAACCAATAAAAGAAAATAATAATTTGTGCCTTAGCCGGTTTGGCTCGGTGGACAGAGCGCCAGCCTGCGGACTGAAGGGTCCCAGGTTCAATTCCGGTCAAGGGCATGTACCTTGGTTGTGGGCACATCCCCAGTAAGGAGTGTGCAGGAGGCAGCCGATCGATGTTTCTCTCTCATCGATGTTTCTAACTCTCTATCTCTCTCCCTTCCTCTCTGTAAAAAATCAATAAAATATATTTTAAAAAAATAATTTGCATTTTTAGCGTATTTATTTTCACTCAACTATATTATCGAGAACATCTTATTAAAGGTTTTTTTTTTTCGTTTTTTTTGTTTGTTTTTTTTAGAGAGGGAGAAGGGAGAGAAACATCAATGTGAGACTGCCTCCTACATGCCCCCAACTGGGGATCAAGCAGGCAACCTGGGCATGTACCCTAACCAGGAATCAAACCAGCAACCTTTTAATGCATGGGATGAAGCCCAACTGAGCCACACCTGCCAGGACTTATCAAGAATATTTTCCAGCCCTAGCTGGTTTGGCTCAGTGGATAGAGCGCCAGCCTGCAGACTGAAGGGTCCCAGGTTTGATTTGGGTCAAGGGCACAGGCCGAGGTTGCAGGCTTGATCCCAGCGTGGGGCGTGTAGGAGGCAGCCAATCAATGATTCTCATCATTGATGTTTCTATCTCTCTCTCCCTTCTTCTCTGAAATCAATAAAAACATATTTTAAAAAAAAGAATATTTTTCAAGTCACTCAATATATTTGGTCATCCCCATGTCTGTGAACTAAGAATGATTTTTACATTTTTATATAGTACTAGAGGCCCGGTGGATGAAATTCATGAATCCTGGGGGTGGGTGGGTGGGTGGGTGGGGTCCCTCAGGCCAGCCTGTGCCCTCTCGCAGTCTGGGACCCCTTGGGGGATGTCCAACCGAGGGCTTAGGCCCACTCCCTATGGGACAGCCTAAGCCCTTGGTTGGACATCTTTAGCGCTGCTGCAAAGGCGGGAGAGGCTCCCACCACAGCCTCTGCACTTGCCAGCCGAGAGCCGGCTTCTGGCTGAGTGGTGCTCCCCCTGTGGGAGTGCACTGACCACCAGAGGGCAGCCCCTGCATTGAGCATCTGCCCCCTGGTGGTCAGTGCACATCACAGCGACCAGTTGCTCCACCGTTTGGTCAATTTGCATATTAGCCTTTTATTACATAGTTGAACAACAAAAAGGGTAATATGTTACGATGTGAAATTACATGAAATAAAATTTCAGTGGCCCTAAGTTTTATCAGAACATCAACATGCTCATTAGTTCACACACTCTCTGTGGCTACCTTCATGCCACAGTTGTGACAGAGACTGTGTGACCCACAAAGCCAGAAAGCCACCTGACTCTTCAGTCTGCTGATCCAAGTCCCTATTGTAATTGACATAACCAGCCTATTTCTATAAATAGATATGCAGGATATAAGTCCTAACCACCCTTCTAGAACCAGTGCACGTGGCCTTATTTGGAAAAGGGTCTTTGCAGATGCAATTAAGATGAGGTCCTTCTAATAGAAAGGAAAGGGAGATGTGGGATAAAGGAGATTATGTGAAGATGAAATCAAAGATTGGAGTGATGGGCCACAAACCAAGGAATGTCTGGAGCCACCAGGAACTGAGAGGAAGAAAGGAGCCTCCCCTAGAATATCTGGAGTGATCATTGCCCTATTTACAACTTGACTTTGGACTTCTGGTCTCCACACTGTGAGAGAATACATTTGTTTTAAGCACAAATGATCCACCTGTGATTATTTGTTATAGTATCGCCAGGGCACTAAGCCAGTCTGCATGTTCTTGACTTGCGCGGTGCACTTCTACCTGAGAACTTTCTGGTTTCACCAGGAGTATCAGGCTGGGGAGGGAAGGGGAAGGGATGGGAGGGAAGGGGAAGGGAAGGGAGGGAAGGGGAGGGAAGGAGGCTTTGCTTGCTCACCAGTACCCACAGTGGCTGCCCATCCCTGTGCTCCTCACCTGGAATGGCCAGCCACTTGCCCATCACTGAGAGCGCTGTGCTCTGCACCTGGTCCTCAGGCACCACCTTGTCCACTATGCCGACCTGGAGGGCCTCTGCTGGCGGGAAGAGCAACCCCAGCTGCAGAGCACGCTCAGCAGCACGGTGCCCAATGGTGTTCACAAGCGTATCTTTGAACCTGGAATGCAGACACCCACTCACCTGGGGCTGGGGGCTCCCAGGTGGGTTGGTTCATCCCTGGGCCAAATGGAAAATGGGTGCAGTTCCTGGCCTTACCAGAAAGGGGCGACGATGCCCAGCAGGGTCTCATTCAGCCCAATGGCATATCTGGGATTGTCAGCCAAAACCCGGTAGTCACAGCTAAGGGAGATCAGGCAGCCTCCAGCAGGGCTGGCTCCCTGCAGGGGAAGCAAGACCACTGGGCTCTGGGTGCTGCTATTGCTGGTCCCAATAGTATTCCAGAGAGCCAGGGTCCCGAGGACTGCCTGCTAGTGGGTGTGAGCTCTCACCGTGACCTAACCCCCACCCCTCCCTCCACCAGGCGCAGGCTCTCCTTGCACCTTACTTGGGTTGTCACCACATCTCTTCAGGGCACACCAGTTCTGGAGCCTTAGCTTCAGCACCTTACCTTAGCGGTCTGTCCCTGCCTTCCCCAGGTCAGGCCAAAGTGATGTTTTCAAAATGTGGATCCAATTCCCCACTTGCTCCCCATATAGCCCTTGGATCCTGGGCCCTGCCCCCACCCCATTGAGTGAGTTGACCCCTGTGGCCCCTACCTTGTTTGTCACCATGTCACAGTGATCTGTGCACATCTCTCCCCAAGGCACCCTTCCCCTC